CTTTTGGCACTGTTTATATTCAAAATAGTTCACTGACAATAATTACAGGGTTATGCCTACCTGGAAACATGCTTTCATATACCTTGATCGTGTGTGGTTTTTTTTAAAAAAGCACTTTATATTTTATTGCTTTATATACATACATAAAATCTAGAAAATTATGACTTAAAATTTGTGCTCAGTGAATTTCTGCTGATATTGATTACATATTATTTCTTACTTATACTCACCCCATTAAAAAAAAAAATCTCAAACATTGCAGAACAAGCAGTGTTCACATGGTGTTTTAAAATAAATATCAGCCCCTATGATATTTGCACTGTTACAGCATGGTAACTACATTACTGAAACTTAGAAAGCTTATTATAAAAAAAAACTGCAAAACAAAAAGAAAAAATAAACTTTAGACAGGTGTATTAGAGATAGCAATTATTAAATTTTGAGGTAAAGAAAATAACATTTATCACTTTTATTTAACATTCAAGTATCTATTCTAAAAAATATTTAATGTGTTTGCTTGTTTCTATGGCAGAGAAAAGCAGTTAGCAAATCCATTAGTATATATGTTAAGTAAATGTTTATAGAGGATCTGTATAGATGCCAAATGCAGGATTTATATAACGTGAACAAGACATAAGGCAAAAGTCTCCAGTCTTACTAGACTAGAGGAGATAGTCAAGTAAACACAGACAGCGGTAAATGCTGCATTCGGGTAATTAGGAGTTTGTGAGAACAGAGGGTAAGAAAAACCCCTTCATAGTTAGAGATGTGGATGTATCAGGATAAACTTACTTAAAGAGTCCTAATTCTTGAAGCACAATTAGGAATTAAACAGATCGGCTTGGCACGGGTAGCAGTCAGTGTGGAGGATATACCATGTTTAAAGGAAAAGAACCATAAGGGAACATGTATCCTTAGAGACCCTACTTACATTCAGAAAAGTATACCTATATCTATAGAAAACCACATAGTATGTGGAACTGGAATCACCTAGGAGCTTTCAAAAAAATACTGCTGTCTGCTTGCCTTTCCCCCAAAGATTTTGAAGAGTGAGGAGTGGCCAGGGCATTCACAGTTTAAAAGTCTTCTGGGTGATTTTAACGGATGCCTGGTTCATTGTGTGAAAACTTCTTCTTTCAGAACCACTTGGAATCGGACACATTCCAATTCTGCCTCCTAGGCCTCCATTCACTCATTTGTGACTATAGAAGCATAATCTTTGTGAGCCTTTTTCTTGATCTGCAAAAATGGGGTTAATACCCACTTGAGAAGGCTGCACTTCACTCATTCCTTCACTCATTCATTCACTCAAGTACTAATTCAGCAAGTGTTTATTGCATGCCTTTTTGTGCCAGGCATTGTTCCAGGCTCTGGAGATTTAGGGAACTAAACAGATCTCTTCTGATCTCTATCCCTCAAAAACTAAAGAAAAAAAAATTACTAAGGGAATTCATACTCTAGTGTTGTAAGGATTAAATACAATAGCAAAGATAAAGCACTCAGCAAGATGCTGGCACACAATAAATATGGAATTACTGGTAATAATCATGTTTGCATAGCTAATTAGGGTCATAATATGAAATTAAGTAACACTTTCATTTATAATGAATTCTGATTACCTTAATCGAATCAGAATGTCTGATTTAAAACAAGTAATTAACCCATAAACAGCACCAGAATTAGTAAGTTTGTACTTTGTTTTTCTCTGGTGAGGGTATTCATTGGCAAAAGGCAATCATAAACCAAACTGTCTTACATCTTTTGGAAACAGAGCTACCTACAAATCATTATCACAAGAATATAATCAGTATCTCAAGTACCTGGTTAAATGTTATCATTCAGATAAAATAGGATGCCACTTGATAATACCATTGCATGAATATCCGTCTTTGAGATTCTGCTGAACCCCTGCAGGATAGCTTTTGGAAGAGAAAACTGGCAGTGGCGCAGGTTAAGTACTTTCCTAATCTGATCAGGGCACCCTCTCATGGGGCTAGCAGTGACCTACTTCAACAAGACGCTTTTGAAAATACAATATGACTAAAGCGATGTAACAAATTTACAAAAATTTAAAACAAATGAGGGAATGTGGTGTGTGTGTGTGTGTGTCTTTTGGAATAAAGTTTCAAAGTATAAAGCTATTGTTATTGATTGTCTGCATGTTCAGCAAATAGCTGTACTTATCGAAAGAGGGAACAATTTGAGATAATGCTTGCTGAATAGTTAATGTTTCACATTTTTAAAAGCTCCTACAGACTCTATTCGGGGACAGTGCCCTAAAATTGTTCAGATTTGAATTTGCTCTGCTGAATTAACGTGAAAGATCAATTCTCTTGATGACTCTATAGAAACAACTCAGGAAAGATTATTGCCAGTTATTAAAAGCAGTATTTTTATATAATAAAGGTATTATTTTGTCTGTGATGTGCAACAGCTGCATCATATCCATTTTTAGATTTCCAATGTATTTTATTTGATGAGATTTAAGAGAGCTGAGTTTTATTAGACTCTGGTCTCATTTTATTAAAATGAAAATGCTTTTTCTTCCAAAAAAAAGTTTTTAAATTTGACCTTTCCTTTTAAAGTAATTATAGTAGATTATGTACAGTAACATAAACTTCTCAACAACTTTCTGAAGTATACATTAAAAATGCACTATATGGAAATACATAATTAATAGTAAAAGAATACAAAGAAGAATGATAATGAATGGCTTCCGTTGTCCGTTTGCTAAACTAGTCTCTCAGTCTCCTGACATAGACTTCTAGTCTTTTATGCTAAATATCTTATAATTCTTAAATGACTAATACAGAAATTAGGGTGCTGGTCTGGCTGGATTTTCATATACAGTCTTGACACTGCGTAACAAAGTACAAGTTTAGCCTGAATATCCTTGAATAGAAATCCAAGTTCAACATATATTCATTATACAGTCAATCCTTGTCCTGCTGCCACCTTGGCAAAGAGTGGACAGTGGTGCAGCATTAAGTCAGCTGCTGCTCAGGGGAGTGCTGGTAGATGGAGACTGCCCTGGGCTCTAGTCTCTGACAGCTTGTTGATTGTTAAGATTTGGAATGCACAGATAGTTCTTGTTGTCTGCATGTTGCTGCTTTTTGTTGGGAGGGTTTGGGGATTAGAGTCATTACTTGAGGCCACTTCATCAGGCAAGAGCCATCGACCTGGCAGAGCAGTTAACCATGGCATTCAGACCAACATGTTCAGAGGCATAATTATTTTAAGTTGAAATGGTATAATCTATATAGTATTGTTTCTTCTCCTCAGTGAATCACAGTATGTATTACATATTCTGTTTTTTCATATTTTTGGTAGTAAAAATGTATAGCTAAATGCAAAGAGTTTGTTCCCAAGCAATTTTTGAGGTCAACAAAAGAGTACATTCCTTAAGACAGGCCTTCTCAACATCGACAGCATTGACTTGTGGAGCTGAATAATTCCTTGTTGTGAGGGGCTGTCTTGTATGTTGTAGGACACTTAACAGCATCCCTGCCTTCCATCCATTAAATGCAATAGTTCCCCTCCAGCTGTGACAACCAAAAATGTCTTCAGCCTTTGCCAGGTGTCTTCTGAGAGGTAGAATAAGTCAGTTGAAAACCACTGCCCTAAGGAAAAGGGAATACTTGAAATTTATTTTATTTTTCTAAATATAGAATGAATCAGGGCCAGAGTAAATAAATGATATATTTTATTTTTTAACTTATTTCTTGTGTACTATAAGAATTACTTTTGTAATGTATACCTTATATTGCAAAAAGTTTTACTACAAAGCTCTCTTAAATACTGCATATATTCAGGGGTCATCTAATTTCTTATTCCTATCAGATGATAGAATTAGCTATTAATACATTGTAATGTCTCTTTTATTCTAAAAAATGTTTTATAATTCCATGCATTACTGCTGAGTAAAAAAAATAAATTGTCAAATATTACCTGAAAGAACAGCATCCATTTTGCCTATAAACTTTTGTGTTTTGGAAACAAACATTATTACACAAAGCATTAAACTTCAAGAATTGAAAGCCTATTAGGAAGTTAAAAATGTACTATCAATAAGGTCTGAAATTGTTGTGTTCTGTTATGCTTTAAACACTAGAAAAACAAATTGTTAGATTTTAGGTAAATTAATGTTATTTAAGAGCAGATATATTTTATGATATGCTACTTTTGCATATCAACAAATAGAAACAATCCTTATATATTCTCATGAAAGCATTTCTGGAAGAAATTCTGTCTTGAAGCAGTTTATTCAGTTCTGCCACATGTATTTCCTTGAGCAATCATGTAGCATTTCTTTAGTAGCAGTTCTACTTCAGACTTCACATTTTAGACTTGTTTCCCCCTAGTAAGGTATGATAGGCTGGTGGAACATTATAATTTTCCCCATAAAAATCTGCATCACGTAAGTATACCAAACATTTTATCTTACGTGCTCAAAAGGCAAGGTGGCATCTTCACCTTTCACATAACCCATGAGATTTATTTACAGTTTACATTGACTTTAAAGCTCTTTTATCCCCTGGGAGTTCTACTTTATTTATTCCAAATAATAGGACATTTGCAACCTGTTAACAGTTGTAAACAGTTCTTTCAAGTACATCTGACATAGCAATTACAAAATGTATTTCTTAGACAGGTATCTAGAATTAAATCAGGACAGAGATGGAGATTAGGTGACCACAAGAAGTTTCTGCATAATTTATCTGTTTTTTTAAAAATTACAAGTATTATAGACCCCCAGCTTCAAAATTCCAGTGAATAATTTAATGGATATTTTACCTATTATATTTTAGAAAAACATTAATTTGATGAATGCTTATTTAATGAAACAGCCTTATCCTAAATGATAGTAAATGAACACAGGATTAAAGGGAAGGAGGGAAGGAAGGAAATGGATAAGTGGATGGAGGACAAATGTATAATTAAGAATATCAACTTTGAGCTGAGACCTGCATGTTAAATTTTGCTTTTATTTTATTTTTCAGCCAATGTTTTCAGTTGCACCAAGCTTAGCCACCAATGCATCAGCAGCCTTTAATCCCTATCTGGGACCTGTTTCTCCAAGCCTGGTCCCAGCAGAGATCTTGCCGACTGCACCAATGTTGGTAACAGGGAATCCAGGTGTCCCTGTACCTGCAGCTGCTGCAGCTGCTGCACAGAAATTAATGCGAACAGACAGACTTGAGGTAGGAATGACTAGTTGGTGTCTTTATGTACTACATTGTAATTCTCAGTGTGTTTTTTTGTTTGTTTGTGTGTTTCCATGGCCAAAAAGTTGTAAAAATTTTAAAAAAGAATATTTTGGTGTAGTGCATGGAGTATTTTACTAGAGTATAGATATGCTGTATTTGATTAATGTAGTGTTTATAAAGGCCACAACATCCATGTTTAGAACAGTCAATAAGAGCTTGGACCCTAAAGTCAGACTGCCTCGTTACATCACTGTGTCTCAATTTTCTCATCTTTAAAGTGGCACTTAAACAGTCAGGGGAATATCTGGCACATAGCAAATGCCTCCTCAATGTTTGTTGTTGTTGTTGCAGCTATCAAGAGTAACAAATATTATCAGTCCCCTAAAAATTGTTCTCATAAACATGTGACAAATATTAGTATCTATAAACATTTGACAATTTATTAATGCAAGTTTCCTCATAAGCTCTACAATATTTTGGTTGAAGTAGAAAGGCAACTGTTTATGCATTGTGCTCTCATAAAAGTTTTTTTGCATAAACCTCCAAGTTCTAGAGTAAAGGATGATCAGATGCAGGGGCTCTGCTGTTGGCACGTGAAAAAGAAATTAAAGTTAGACATCTTATTTCACAGTGGTTGTTCAGAATCTCAGAATGACTGTGAATTAATGAATTTGGTAAACTGTAGATGTAGAGAAAAAGTGACAACATCAAATGTACCTTGAAGGTACAGACCTGCCATTGAACCCACCTAAGGAACAAAATGACCTTTTCCTCTTTTCCCTGGTGAGGATGAGGTGATTTTTTTTTAACTTTTATTTTAGGTTCAGAGGTACATGTGCAGGTTTTTATATAGGTAAACTGTGTATCATGGGAGTTTGGTGTAGAGATTATTTCATTGCCTATGTAACAAGCACAATACCCAATAGTAACTTTTTCAGATCCTCTCCCATCTCCCACTGTCTACCCTCACGTAGGCCCTAATGTCTGTTGTTTCCCTCTTTGTGTCAATGAGTTCTCATCGTTTAGCTCCCACTTACAAGTGAGAACATGTGGTATTTGGTTTCCTGTTCCTGCATTCGTTTGCTTAGGGTAATGGCCTCCAGCTCAATCTATGTTGTTGCAAAGGACATGATCTCATTCTTTTGTATGACTGCATAGTATTCCATGATGTATATGCACCAGATTTTCTTTATGCAGTCTGCCATTGATGGGCACTTAGGTTGATTCCATGTTTTTGCTACTGTGAATAGTGCTGCAGTGAATATACATATGTGTGTGTCTTTATGGTAGAATGATTTATATTTCTTTGGGTATATACCCAGTAATGAGATTGCTGGATTGAATGGTATTTCTGTTTTTAGGTCTTAGAGGAATCACCACACTGTCTTCCACAGTGGCTGAATTAATTTGTATGTCCACCAGCAGAGTATAATTTTTTCTTTTACTTAGCAATCTGCCAGCACCTATTATTTTTTGACTTTTTTAATAATAGACATTTTAACTGATGTGAAATGGTATCTCATTGTGGTTTTGATTTGCATTTCTCTAATGATTAGTGATAAAGGGCATTTTTCATATGCTTGTTGGCCACATATATATATCTTTCTTTAAAAGGGGTCTGTTTGTGTCCTTCACCCACTTTTTCATAGGGTTGTTTGTTTTTTGCTCATAAATTTAAGTTCCTTACAGATTCTAGATATTAAACCTTCATGGGATGCATAGGTTGTAAATATTTTCTCCCATTCTGTAGGTTGTTTGTTTACTCTGCTGATAGTTTCCTTTTGCCTGTGCAGAAACTCTTTAGTTTAATTAGATACCATTTTTCTATTTTTTGTTATTGTTGCAATTGCTTTTGGCATCTTTATCATGAAATCTTTGCCAGGTCCTGTATCTAGAATGGTATTTCCCAGGTTACCTTCCAGGGTTGTTAAGTTTTTGGGTTTTACATTTAAGCCTTTAATCCATCTTGAGTTCATTTTTGTAAGTGGTGTAAGGAAGGGATCCAGTTTGAGTCTTCTGCATATGGCTAGCCAGTTACCCCAGCATCATTTACTGAGTAGGGAGTCCTTTCCTTATTGCTTGTTACTGTCAACTTTGTTGAAAATCAAATGGTGGTAGATGTGCTGCATTATTTCTGAGTTCTCTATTCTGTTGCATTGGTCTATGTGTCTTTTGTGTATCAGTACCATGCTGTTTGGGTTACTGTAGCCATGTAGTATAGTTTGAAGTCAGGTAATGTGGTGCCTTTAGCTTTGTTTTATTTGTGTAAAATTGTCTTGGCTGTTTAGGCTCTTTTTTTTAATTCCATATGAATTTTTAAATAGTTTTTTCTAATTCTGCAAAGAATGTCATTGATAGTTTAACAGGAATAACATTGAGTGTATAGCTTGCTTTGAGCAGTATGGCCATTTTAATGTTACTCATTCTTCCTATCCATGAGCATGGAATGTTTTTGAATTTGTGTGTGTCATCCATGATTTCTTTGAGGAGTGTTTTGTCGTTCTTTTTTTTTTTTTTTTTTTGAGACAGAGTTTCACTCTTGTTACCCAGGCTGGAGTGCAATGGTGTGATCTCAGCTCACTGCAACCTCCACCTCCTGGATTCAGGCAGTTCTCCCGCCTCAGCCTCCTGAGTAGCTGGGATTACAGACATGCACCACCATGCCCAGCTAATTTTTTTTGTATTTTTAGTAGAGATGGGTTTTCAGAATGTTGACCAGGATGGTCTCAATCTCTTGACCTCATGATCCACCTGCCTCGGCCTCCCAAAGTGCTGGGAGTACATGTCATTCTTTAGAGAGTTTCACCTCCCTTCTTGGCCATTATTCCTAAGTATTTTGTTCTTTTTGTGGCAATTATGAGTGGAAATGCACTCTGATTTTGCTCCTGGCTTGGATGTTGTTGGTTTATAGGAATGCTACTGATTTTTAGACATTGATTTTGTATTCTACTACTTGGCTGAAGGTGTTTATCAGATCAGGGAGCTTTTGGGCAGAGACTATGGGACTTTCTAAATAAAGAAACAAGTTGTCTGCAAACTTGTTCTTGCTGGAGAGATACACCTGATATACCTGGATTTTTGAGTGGTTTGTGGTTACACAACTGTACTTGCTTATTAATTAACTAATGCTGTTTGCAGATGGAGTAAGAAGAAACTTAAAACATTTAAAATATCTTAAATTATTGAATGCTCAGCATGTGAAGCAGTTTTATTCCCCTGACCTTTCTAAAGCAAACCTGAGTTTTTTTATTTGTTTGTTTGTTTTTTTGAGATGGAGTCTCGCTCTGTCACCAGGCTGGAGTGCAGTGGCACGATCTTGGCTCAGTGCAACTTCCACCTCCCAGGTTTAAGTGGTTCTCCTGCCTCAGCCTCTGGAGTAGCTGGGACTACAGGCATGTGCCACCATGCCCAGCTAATTTTTGTATTTTTAGTAGACAGTGCTTCGTCATGTTGGCCAGGATGGTCTCTCTCGACCTTGTGATCCACCTGCCTCAGCCTCCCAAAGTGCTGGGATTACAGACGTGTGCCACCGTACCTGGCCAACCCTGAGTTCTTAATGAATAATTGTTGATTGATTAATGGGAACCAAATAAGCAGTCTGATTTGAACTTTAATGAATTATTAATAGATGACATTCAGAAAGCTGGTTATAAGTCTTCTAAACCAGTCCTCCCACATTCACAATTTTAGGTAGTTCGTTACTGGTTATATTTTATAGTGCTTCGTTGAAAGGAAGACTTTTTTGTCTTTGGGTTTTTTCTTTTTGTGAGGAGCTACTTAGCATATTTTGTCCGTTTTCTTTTGCTGTAGTCAGAACAAATGGATACCGTTACATCAACTGTCATTTCCCTTTTATCTGAATTCTGCTTATCTAAATGCTTGATTGTAGTGCAGCTTCCTATTTTATTCTTGTTAACAAGATCTGATCCAGTGTCACAGTCACCACCTGTTAGGACACTGCAGCATGAAGCTTAGAGGCACATCTTCCTGCTATGTGCTTGTGATTTTAGACAATGCTATCTGCAGGTTATTTCCTCGCATGCTAATTGCATGACATATTGAAGTCTAAAAGACATGGCAATAAATGCACACATTAATTAATTGGCCAAATGCTCCATCATTTGGCATTTAAATATATACTTTTTCCTTGTGGAATTCTGAAGCATATTTTTGAATTTTGAGTTCTTTCTGAGGTGAAAAGTTTTCTGAATCAGTTAAAATATTGGCCGGTTCTTGCCACTTCTTTCTTTTTACTGCAACTTGTTAGACAATAAAGAAATTTAAAATACCATAGATTGTCAGCCTTCTGGTTCTTACATAATTGATTAAAACTGACATCTTTACAGCACCCAGTGTGATTCTACAAAAAAAAATGTTAAATTGGAAAATAGGAATTCAAGAATTACTGCATGTGATGTTGCTAATTAGGTGAGTCAGCTTGGATCAGGATTCTCTTATTCTCTTGGCTTCATATTCCCTACTTGTAAAATTTGGGGGTTGCACCAGATAATCTCTAAGGTCATTTCCAATTAGAACATTCTAGGGACATTTAGGTCATTTTCTTGTTTTAACATTAACACCAGCCACAAGCTATTGAAATGTTTTGTTTTGTTTTTGAGATGGAGTCTCACTCTGTCTCCCAGGCTGGAATGCAGTGGTGCAATCTCCACTCACTGCATCCTCCGCCTCCAAGGTTCAAGCGATTCTCCTGCCTCAGCCTCCCAAGTAGCTGAGATTACAGGCACCCGCCATCACACCCAGCTAATTTTTTGTAATTTTTGTAGAGATGGCATTTCACCGTGTTTGCCAGGATGGTCTTGATCTTCTGACTTGTGATCCACCCTCCTTGGCCTCCCAAAGTGTTGGAATTAAAGGTGTGAGCCACCACGCCCAGCTGAAACATTTTTTTTTAATTATATAAATATATCTAGAAGCATATATTACATATATTGCATATGCACCCAACATGAGATTTATATCAAAATTCATATTAT